ATTTCTTCACAATGGGGATGTGATTCCTTTTGTTCCAGTTTCTTCTTCATCCATTCCAAGTGGATGAAGGAGAACCATGGTTTATTGTTTCAGAAAGGGTCAGTAGTTTAGTTCTGAAGGATGGAAGGTGTAATAAATAATTCTCACTTTTCTTGGCAAGGACCCTGGTGAGCTGGAAACAGGGACCATATTTCAAGTGAACAGTTCTGCTGTTGGTGAGCCCCTAAGCTGGTCCTTGGAGGTTGCGATATGAAGGTATCTTCATATGTTCAGCATCTCCTAGCTTCCCTCCATAAGAGGTTTGGTTGTTGAATATCTGGTAAGAAGATCCTGTTGCTTTGTTAGGAGACAAGGGAAAAGCAAAGGTGATCTGTCCTGCATTGCAGATGGAGCAGAGCCAAAAAGACCAGGAAGGAGCCTGATTCCCAAACCAGGGAACTGGGCAACCTGCTGTCAAGTGTGACACAGGGAATGAGCCAGAACTGGCAGGAGAGAAGATGGGTGGACACAGAGCATGTCTACACACAGTAGCTGCTCTGGATTGATGTGGAGTGTAAATGTAGTACACAGGAATCGTTGACTGCCTCGGTTTCTTTGCCTTTCAGCCTTATAGTCAGAAAAAGGCAGGCTTACTTAAGATCAAATGTGCCCAGACCTGGAGCTATTCAGAAACATCTGCCCTGGAAAAAAAAAACCCTCAAGAGCCAAATTGCCTTTGTACTGTTGAGCAGGAAAAGGGCCATAGCACTGGCTTGGCTTTCTTCAGGCTGAGTGAGCTGATACCCTCTTTATCTGCTTTTATTCATCCCAGATGAATGGGATCATCAGAGAAGATGAAAGAGAGACTGATCTGATGGCATGATATGTTCGCCACTTTAGCAGCCTGTTGCACCCAAGTGATTTAACAAAACATCACCCAAGAAGCATCCTTTGGTTTAGCACTTTTGTCTGGTCCCTGGTCAGACCTCAGGTAGCTTGGAAAGGGCAGACAGAAATGGACTGTCTCCTCCAGCCAGTATATATCTAATGTGTCTCCACTGAAGGTGTCAGAATGATACCAATATCAAAGTGTAGTGTGTGTAAGGAGAAAGAACTTCATCAGTTTTAATGGTGGCAATAAATGTGTTGACTCTACTTACTGACTCGAGAGCCTAGGATTAGAGTTTTAACTCCCGAGAAGAACATTTTTCCTTCTGGTTTTGACTTCAACCCAAACCCCAGTCCTTACATATCCCGCTGCAGGATTTATTTGCTACAGTTTTTCCAACTTTGGAGTCATCATCAAATTCCAGCAGCCTCTTCCTCAAAGTCATGCTTTGTGAAATGATTCTTTGACAGCAGCAATGATAGGTGAGGGTGCCTTTGCAGCAGGGCATTTTGCAGAGCTCCCCAGCCTGAAAACCACAGGCCAGCTGCACTTAACCAGCCAGCAATTCCCATAGGAACCCCATGGTGGTGGTGGTGGAACTAGAGTACAGAAACCTCAGCAGATATTTCTGTCTTTCCTGTTATTGCTGTTTGACCATGGAGCATCAGTGGTAGGTGTCTGCATCTCAGAGGAGGACTTCAGCTTCAGCTTCCTTCCTTAGTTGGAGTCACCACACTGAGGAAAACCCCTTTGTTCTAGCACAGTTCTTCCTGCTTTTGTCATTACAATGCTTTTGGTGCTAATGCAATATCCAGATAAGTTGTCTGTCCACTGCAAGAACCTGAGATACTGCCCAACATTACCTTTATATGAGTGTGCTTTCCTGCTGCTACTGCATACACCCAGCCTGCTTCAAAAGCCATTATCCAGTTCTTTTAGGCTGGAGCAAAAGGCAAAAGAAGAGCTTTCTGCTTGTAACCAGGTGCCATGCAGCAAATATTTGTTTCATAATGTGTCATTATTGTCTTGCATCCAGCACAAACCTTTGCTGCAGTGTAAAGAAAAGCAAGACAGATAGTCATGTCTCTGATACCACTGAAACAGGGGATATCTGAACCCAGGGATTTTGGACACCCAAAATTAATTTGGTGTGAAGGACCTTTTATAACAGACACATTCTCAGTTGGAAGCTATTCCACCACTAACCATGACATCACTAGAGAGGTAGTTGTTGCTCCCTGAGGATTAAAGTACATGACCTCTAGGGTCTGTCCAAACTCATCTTAGAGGCGTGAGACACAGGTAAAGACTTTGGAGCAATATACATCCTAATGAAAGCTTGCAGAAAGTCCTGTTGGGTCCATCTGAACTCTTTCCAAATAGCTGGCTTAATTCAGCTCTCCCCTTTCCATGTTGACAGAGACTGTGCCATTTTTGCAGACACAGGTTGGAAGTATTATCGTAGGAGTTGTGGACATGTAGATCTTTGCATTTTCCTTTGGCACAGAGCTGCAGGCTGGAAACCAAACTGTACAGATGGGTGACTTAGGCTTGTTGAAAGAGCTTCCTCTGGCCAAAGGTGCTGGGGGTTGTGGGATCTAGACAACCTGACAGTTGTGGTCTGCTGTGGGAAGGCTTCTCTGGCTTTGGAGAAATGACGTGGCTATTGCATGCCTCATTGAGAACATGGGTCCTGGGTCACTGAGTATGACCCTGAGATAAGTATGGAGGAGGTCTTCAGCCCTGGGAGGATGGCTTTGATCCCCCTGTTGAGACTGATCCTTCAGGATCATCAGGAAGGTGGCAATGTGACCACTGCTCCCAGGTGTGCTGCAGAGCTTAGAGGTGAAGGGCAGGATGCTTTCATTTCCTTCAGATCCCAGACAGGTACTTGGGCATCCTGTACCCAAGCACCAAATGATGCTGAGCATCCATCACTACTAACATGTGATACTTGTGCCACCTTCAGTGACACTGAGGATTGGCATTGCCAGGGCAGGAGCTAGATGGTCTTGAAGGCCCCTTCCAACCCAAACCATTCTATGATTCTATGATATTCAGTGGGTTTTAAAGTGCTTCTCACCTTCTTCACCACTGAGCTCTGCTAAGCTCTATCTGTGAGGTGAGCTGAAGCAGGGTCATAACACACACCTAGGTCTCTGAGGATACAAAAAGGTGGACTTGTATCCAACAGATCAAGCAAAGCATCAGGATTGCAGCATTGATCCACTACTTGTTGTTTGGCCCCATCTGGAGTGCTTTACTGTTGCAGGAAAACCAGAGGTGAATTCAGTATAAGCTGCTTGAGGTCCCGGTTGGGTTCCTGTGTACTAGAACACATATTGAAGCATTTGTGGGCTTGGAGGGACTGTCAGGTAAAAAAAGAAGCAGCGGGAGGGGAATGTGCATTAGTGACATGCCCCAAGTCATGCAGGTAAGACAGAAACAGGAACCTCAGCCACATGCCCTGGTTTTGCAACCAGGTCTGTGTCTTCAGGACCTGTTGTGTTTCTAGTAAAGGAGAGGAATGGATTTGGAAGAACCAATTATTTCATATTTTAGGAATTGTAGAGATTTATGTTGCTATTAAAGTAAAACCTAATGGGTATTTTTGTGGCGGGTTTTTGGTTTGTGTTTTTGGGTGTGTTGTTTTATCATTTTTAAGGCAAAATGAGTGGAGACGTACATAAAAGTGGAAAACTGCTTTTTCTGGTATTTTTGTTTAAGGTTTTCACCTTTTCAGCCACTGTAAAACTTCATCCAGGTGTCTCAAGTGGGAAAAAAAACAAAGAGAGTCAAAAGTTTGAGGTGAAATTGTTTATTCTAAATTGACTGAAATACATTGTGGCATCTGAGATTAAATCCTCCCTTTTGTTTTGACAGGAGAATTGTAAAGGTAAAAAGGCTCTTTTTAGTTTTCCCCTCACATCTTCACTTCCCCTTAAAACCACCAAAGTTCCACCAGAGCAAAACCACAATTTCTGATGTGGCCTTGCTCTGTAGGGATCAAAGCTATGAGGAGAAGTAATCAATATGTTAAATACATTCTCTTTTATCTGGATCTAGCATCCTACCTGCTAAGAAATGTGATAAAGTACATCAAGGATGAACAGTTTCAGATCTCCAAGTACACTAGCAGGGTGTTAGCAAAGTGTGCAAGATGTATGATGGATCTTCTTTACCAGCAAACTGATTCAGACCCTTTACAGTGTAGAACTGACAAGGAAAGAAATGCATTCAACACACAATGTTAGCTTTAGGGTGCACTCAGGTAATATAGGAGAACTATGTCAGAGACATAATAGCTATAGGTTTTTCTTCATGTTTTAGTTTTGCTAATATTATTACCATGGGCTGCAGAATAGGAATTACTCTTTGGTAATCACTTGGCAAGCATGAACGCAGTGCTTTGCCTATTTTGTTGTGGGGGGATGTAAGTGACATTTTATGTTGGAAGCATTTATGAGTCCCTTCTTGATGGTCACTGGAGCAGCATCAGGTCACTGGCATTTGCTCAGAAAATCACAAACCAGATGAAAATGTCAAAATCCAGCTGCTGTCTTTGCATGAGCATTCAAGCTGACAGGGGGGTAGAGGAGATGGTGCCCAAGCGCTAGCAGTCATTGGTATCAAAAGGCCATTGGCCTTAGAGTCAGACCTCCCAAATTTGTCACACTGGGAGGTAGGCACGAGAAATTTTGGAGACACAAAGACAGAAAGAGCTGTCTCTCACCTCCTCAAAACGGGTCTCTGTGCTCTAAATCACCGGCAACTTTCACAGTTATGCCCTTGGACATCTTAAGCCAAGCAATAGGGTACTTGTTTTTTTCTTGTGATCAGGGGCAGGTTTTCTCACACACTGGAAATGTGTTTTGGACATAGTCCTCATCCAGTGGAAGAGAAATGTTGTTGCTGGGATTGTAATGACACTGATTTTTAATCTCTCAGTGTGTGAGAAACTAGAAGAAAGAGAAGCAGAAGGCCCTACACAGCAATGGATTAACAGCAAAAGAGGCCGGATGCTGGACATGAGGAAAGAAAGCGATCCATGACAATAAATGGAGTTGTAAGTGTTCCTCTCTTTTACTTGTAGCACTGAGAATTTGACAGCCGGTACCCAGCAGTCAGGCCAGCAGGTTTGGCAATATGCTGCCTTGAAAGATCTTTCTTTCTATTACTACTTAATCCCATTTTACCCAGGACAGGCGGGCTGTCAGATCTGCAGAGAACAGAAGGGAGAAAGGAAAACAAAGTGAAGACATACCACATTCATTTAAAGCATTTAAATTACTGTTTAACAAGCCAACTATTCTGCCTCTCCAGGAAAGCAGTCTCACTCATTTAGGTCTTTCCAAGTGGAACTCTTCAGAAATATTAGTTAACTAGAAGCCTGACAAAAGAGGTGATCCCTATGAGAGCTAGTTGTGTTGGTTTAAAAGATGTTCATCTGTTAAAGGTGGGGGCAGCTGGAAAATACAATCCGGATGCTCTCAGTAATCAAGAGAGTTGTGATCAGCAGCATATGAGGAGTCATTTTCCCAATCATGTAGCAAATGGAAATTAATAGGAAAGGAGAAAAGAATTAACTTTTCCTTTAAAGTAAACTGATTGCTTTTCCCCTGCAGGCTCTGTTCCTTTGACACTTCCCTGTGAAATGAAAGGGAAATATTATTTTGCAATAGGCTATTCTTGCAAAAAGACTTTTCTCTCCTTATGCTGCACTTTCTGAAGGCTAATATGTTTCAAGGCCCATTTCCAGAAAGTGGCAAGATCCAAAGGAACACCTTCTCCAAACGGACAGAGTTAGAAAGGGGGTTAATTGCCTTATAATACAAAGTGCCAAGAACTACTGAAAATCCCCCTGTTCCTCCTTGTGCCACTAAGTAACACCAAAACTATTGCTTTCTATTTGAGACTTGAGGTCCCATGTTTGGCACTTGGACAATTTCCTATCTTCCTCCTACAATGGAATGAGGAAGCAACACATTCTGATGGAAACAAGGGCAAAGTTCAATCCCACATAAGTCAGGATAAAGCACAGGACAAGCAATCAGCATAGCAGCCCTTCACCTTAAAATAGTAATAATTATATAAAAATGTAAATCGCAAATAGGCATTTGCTCCCCTGCTTTGTGGTGAATTTAAAAGAGGGAGAGACAGGGAAAGCAGCAGAGAAGCATTTTGCACATACATTGTGTATATTGTTATGTATGTTAGGGAGATTCAGGTTAGATATAAAGAAGACCAGGTTGAACAAAGCCTTGGGTGACATGATTTAGTGTGAGGTGTCCCTGCCCATGGCAGGGGGGTTGGAACTAGGTGATCTTAAGGTCCTTTCCAACCCTAACTATTCTATGATTCTATGATTGTAAGTTCTTCCCTGTGAGGGTGCTGAGGCGCTGGCACAGGGTGCCCAGAGAAGCTGTGGCTGCCCCATCCCTGGCAGTGTTCAAGGCCAGGTTGGACACAGGGGCTTGGAGCAAGCTGCCCTAGTGGAAGGTGTCCCTGCCCGTGGCAGGGGTTGGAACTGGATGAGGTTTAAGGTACCTTCCAACCCAAACCATTCTATGAATGTGACAAGTGGATATCCAAAAGCAAGTTGACCAATTCACTCCCACTGGAAACCCAAAACAAACACAACACTTCATTCACTCACCGCTTGTATTCCAGGTTGCCTGCTGTTGGCTTTGCAAACCATTCTTCAGGCACTGCTCCACGTAGGATTTGGGATCGCATCCGGAGAGGAGGATCTCGCCAAGGAGGGCGATGTAGGCGATGGCCAGCCGCAGCGTATCGATTTTGGAGAGGCGCTTCTCATACGGGAAGGTCGGTACGTGTCTCCTGAGCTGGTCGAAGGCCGAGTTGATGTTGATCATCCTCTTCCTCTCGCGGACGTTGGCGGCGTGGCGCTGACGGAGGTGGCGGGGGGGCCGCGGCTGTGCGGAGCTGTCCAGTTCAGCACCCAGAGCCCGCCCCGCTGCGCTGCCCGCCTCCTGCCCCTGGTCGGGCCAAGGGCTGAAGGGGTCTGTTAAGGAGGAGCAGTCAAGTAAGAGGTTGTCCAGCTGATCGCTGGGACCTGCCTCGTCCCAGAGGAGAAAGTCAGGAGCGGTGTCTTCCTGCTCGAAGCTGTAACAAAGTTCTTCCATCTTCCGACCCACCGGTCTGAAGCAGGCTAATGGAAATATTTGCAACTTCAGACCAAATTGACTGTCGAGCAAACTGGATTCAAATTTCATTAATACCCCCCAAAACCTCAGGGTCAGGTAGTGCTTGTTGTGTCCTTGAGGAAGGCTATCGCAAAAGTTTCCCCAGTTGCATGTCCAAGTGGGACTCATGATTTAAATACTTCATGGCTCCTCAGCAGGGGCATAATCCTATTCTTCCCCACTCAAAACTAATTAGTACACGTGTTTCTCTTTTTAGTAGCTGTTGACTACAAAACAATATGAATGAATGTAAGAAGAGAGAATGAATTTTCTATTGACTTTCTCCTGGAAAATCCATTGAAGCAGTTATTGAGTTCTTCCACAAGTTCGGTCTCTCCGCTTGCTATTTAGAGTAGGGTTCACACAGGGATTTTGTTGTTATTGTTGTTGGCTTTGGTTAGGAGTGGTTGAAGAAAAAAACAAAATACAGTCCTTTATCTTTTTGGTAAAGCGTTAATAGCCCTACATTCTGCTGTGGTTGGACAAACAAAATGCTATTATAATGCTGTCAGAAACACATGATTCTGCCCTCTCTAACAGCAGGGCCATCTCCTACACTTCTAGAAAGAGAATGGTTGGGATAAAGATGTGGGATGCACTGCTGTGTTAAATTGCAAACACAGTGGTACCTCATATTAAGCAAGCCAACATCATTCTATTTGGTTATTACATTTTCTGAATCACACTTGAATGATACATTTTGTGGAGAATATGGACATTCAGTGCCTTGTCTCAGAGCATACTAAGCCCTGGAAAATAGCAGCAGCTACAATAATTGCAATGGGTGCTGTCCTGGAAGGGTGAACCAGGTCGGCCACATCTTGAGAAGTGCTGGAAAATAGGAGAGTAGCAGGTGTCCAGCATCTCTGTGATGCTGGACAAAGGGGGTAGAAGCTGTTAAGCGCCACCAGAACTTTAAAGCAAGTGCATAATCTAAGTGGGTACCTCACTCTCTTTGATTTCCACAATACTTAAGCCAGTGTTTAAATTCACTCAGAAGTTTAAGTCATATTTGAAGGACTTAAATGAATGGAATGGAAACATGTTTTAAGTTAAAGAAAACCTAAATGCTTTTCCTGAAGCATGCCATAAAGGATTTTTATCAAGACAATCAAATGCTTGGCTTCATGTGCTCATGACTTGTGTCCTGCTGCTGTGAGAAGTTCTAAGAGAATGTCTACTGTGAAGTTTATGAGCCACAGACAGCTCCTTGACAGGACAGCTGAAGGCAGAAATCTCAGTAGCTTCAGATATAGGGCTAGAGAGCAGAAAATGACCTGCATTTTCAATGAATTCGAAAGGATGATTGGGTCCTCCACCTGACAGTGACTTATGGAGTCCTGGTAAATTTGCCCTGTAAATAGAGGGATTTATTTTAAGATAAGGCATAGGTTATCTTCCTAGTAACCTGGGATTTTACTTGTGGCAATTCTTTCTACTCTAGGAAGTTTAAGGCAGCAGAAAACAGGCTGCAGGAAACGTTTTTGCAAAGAGCAGATGTGAGAACGTTGCAGTGTGTGAAACCCTAGGACTATCTTTTTTCTTCTTGTTGTGTGAATTGAACATGAAATCTATTGTCTGTATATCTGTTTTACAAAATAAAATAGCAGTCCCTTTTACACCCTTGTAAGCAGATTTGGGCTCAGCTATGCGGAAAGCAGGCAGCAGAAAAGCCTTCCTGCCTGAAGTCCCTCTCTCTGCATGCTGCACCATCGTTACCCAAAACACCTCTGCAGCTGCATTTTTGGCCTCTTTGCAGTTCCCAGATTTCATGTTATCTTTTAGGTGCTTCTACAGCTCCTCAGTCACTGTTTGGCTGAGCACGGGGTAGTGTTGATTTGGCCACCTTAGGCACAAACCTTAGACACTTGAAAATACCAAAATCAGCAAGAGAACAGCAGGTCTTCTCCTCAATAAGGCTTTAGAGGAGACACTTCTTGTCCACCAGGAGCAATGGGCAGAGACAAAGAGGCTCAGCAAGTAACATGGGTTTATATGCTGGGTTCCTCTCTCTCAGCAGATGCTTCTTCAGTGCTTAATGTTCTTTTCCATTTCCATCACTGCTAATAGTGTTGCCTGTGTTGCCTGGGGATATGTCTGGCCTCACAGATGGAGAGCAGATGTTCCAGCAAGCCTACTTCTAGTGTGTTCAAGGGGAATTTGGCTCTCTTAGAGAGACTGAACAAATAAGAAGAGGGGAGGATAAGGGAAGAAAGAGAGAAATGCAAGAAATTATTTCCCCCTAGAAAGCCAGTTTTTATGACAGGTCAGGTCTCAGAAGAGAAGCTGAGGTTCTCCTCCCTCCTATGAACAACCCTTACCACAACTTTAGACCTGCTGCACTCTGGTGTTTCTGCAACTCTATTCATCAGAGAGAGAAGGAATGTACAACCAATTGGGCTTATTTTACACTTGTTTGGAAGATGTGGGTGAAGGAGTCTCCAATAGGAAATGAGGTAGCATGGGTACCACACTGATTATGAAATGTGGCTTGAATTTTTTCCTAAAACCTCTTCAGACCCAGTGGGATGATCCATAAATAACATTTGGCTGCAGTCATTTTTAATTAATAGGGTCTAATGAAAGCAGACTCTTGAGTCAGCAACTTTGTCCTGGGTTTGTATCTATGATAGGCAATAGAATTATGGCATTTGGGTTTGAATTCTCCCAGTCCTAGGTATCTAAGTCTTCCACACAGAGCATGCTTCCATCATCTTAAATTGCTTAATGAAGGGGGTCAGTCCTTGGCCTGGACAAAGAACAGATGTAGAATGGACCAGGTGCTTCACTTTCAAACGAGATAATTCCAAAATACAAGTCCATCATGTCATTGCTGCTCATTGCTGCTGTACTCCAACACTGTGCTGGGCAGCTCATTATCGGATCTGGGAATGGGGTCCCAGATGAACAGAGAAGGTCAGATGAAAGATGCCAAAAATCTTGGGGAATGCAATATCCAGGTGAATAATACTCAACATGTATTAGTAATGGCACTGCCAAACTGTAGATGGATATGTAGATGGATATATAGATGGATATCCAGGATATGTAGATGCATATGTAGAGAGATATCCAGGACCTGAGCTCACCCAGTTAGGAGGACCTGAGGACTCACAATTGGCTGGTTGACCTCCTCACAGTCATAGCTAAAGGGTGGACCCTAAAGGGTTGCTATCCCTTTTTTTGAGCTGTATGCCATGCCTGGGATACCTGAATTACTGGGCACATTGTCTGCGAAATGCTGAGGGCAAGAAAAGTGCAAGTATTGTCATTTAAAAATGGAATGTGCTTCTTTTTAACCTAAAACAATAGCAAATGTAATGATGTAATGAAAAGCAGAACAAGGATTTCCAGGGCAAGAGAATTTCAAAGGGATGATGACTATTTCTGAGATGCTCAAGTAATTGTGAAATGAAACAATCCAGCACAGGCAGGATGTTGATTTTAAGTGAAAAAGGTAACAGGACCTTTATTATTCACAGGGTAGAAACATCAGATGTCAAAGTTTGTGGAGGAAGGCATCAGTGAATAATTGTTAATATAACTTTGATTTATTTCATTATTGGTATAAGCCAGTCAAGACAGTCTTTGCTTTAAAGGTCTTTGGTGTTTAAGAGTGAACACAGACACTTGAACCTTTCTGCAGGGTGTTTGCAAAGTTACAGAAAATTAATCCCAGTCTCTAGGAGAAGGAAAGCATTTTCTCCAATAAAAATACTCACTTGTGGTTTCCCCCTTTTCACAGGGATTTTTATGAGTTGGGTGGTGACCTCTGGACTGTTGCTGCCAAATAGTTCCTCATCCAAGTCACTGCACTGGAGTTTGTGACTGCTTACTAGAGTGAATGGTCATCTCTGTGAGACAACATGCACATCAACCTGGTCTTAGCTGTACAGTTTTGATCTCAAGGGAAGGGAAGTGCTCATGGGAACTTCTGAAGGAAAGTTGTGTTGCTCATGTAACGACCTTATGAAGGCTGCTTGTCCTGAGTCTATATATATACTTCATCTGAGCAGTGGACTTGGCAGTCCTGAGGTAAAGGTTGGACTTGATGATCTTAAAGGTTTTTTCCAACTCAGCTGATTCTATGATCTGGAACATACCCTTAGCAAGGTTAACATAATGCTGCATCCAGGGATTGCAGATAGTGCCCATGAATAACCCTGTCTCCATAACCAATGAGAAATAACTCTAGGGAGAGAAAAATCTGTCATTCATGTGACATCTAGTGCTCTTTTTATTGCTTTTATCTGGATGTTTCAAAATGGTGTCTTTAACCTTGCTCCCATTCATGAATGATTCAGCCATCAGGAACTGAAAATCATTCTACTCTTGACTTCTTGAGGAAGACAGATCTCAACGCCTTTGCAAAGCCACTGTACCAAATACGTCTTCTGCAAGGTGCATGAACATCTTTTAAGAGTGGGTTATCCATTCCTGCAGCCGCAGGTGCCCTTTCTTCAGGTACAAGAAAATCTGCATTATCTGCATTAATTTTAGTCATGATTTAATGAAAAATGATCTTTTTTTTTAAAAAAAAAAGAAAAAGATCAGCTTCTGCCTCCTGTACCTGTACGGAGGATACTCTTTTCTTTAGCCTTTCTGTTTTCCCTAAGGACAGAGCTGATAAGGAGACACAGTACCAGGCCAGAGAGCAGAGCCTGAAATCCAGGCTTGTACAACTGATAGCCGGGCTCTGGCTGTGCTGGAACCCAGTCCTTGGTTCCCCCAGCGCCACTCCCATCCTGCTGGCTGCACCTGCGCAGTGGTCCATGGGACTTGTTACTCATGCAGGCATCACCTCGTAAACCTGCCCAGAGACCTCAGGTTTGAAAACAGTCACCCAGGTAGATTTACAGCACGATGTCTGTTTGACTGACAACTGCTGCCACTTTATGGGAATCCAGCACATCTGCATTATAAACCAGGAGCAATAGCTT